CAGCTGCTGTATCAACTCCAAGTAACCCCACCCACAATACCTCCAGTACCAGGAGTCCAGTGAATACCACCACCAAAGCAAGTGGCGCTGCTCTGCAGTCAACAGCCAGCCTCTTCATGATCTTGTTCTCCCTCCTACATCTCTACTGTTAAGAGACTCAGACCAAGAAATATCTGTACTTCCCCATCTTCTAAACCTAACCCAAAGAGCGTCTAGACATCTAGTGTGATAAGGAAAAACAGGTCTTCATTGAATCTGCTAATTCCACACCTTGTTTTATTGACACAGAAAATGTTGAGAACCTCAGGTTTCATTGGTTTGAAGAGCATGGGCAGGGCTGACTAGATGATGGCCAATATTAAATCTGCTGGAGTTTCATGTACAAGATGAAGAGAGACGCATCCAGAATTAGTTCAGAGATAATTTCCTTAAATGTGGCTTAAGAAGTATGGACACATAAAAAGTACCCTGAAAATGAATAGATTTTTATCTTATAGGATGGGATTTGGAACAGATTCAGTTTTCATTTGGTGCATTAAAGCTATATGACCATAAAACAGTTAGGTAATGCAAAAAGCTTCCATGGTTCTATTTCTATGTACATTAGAAGGAACTTCCAGGTGTTCCGGTAAATCCTCAGTGTATTGTGTCACAGTACTAATGTGATGCCAGTGTAACTCTGGATCGAGTGATTGTTAAGCTATCACTGTTTTCTTGGGAACTCAACTGTTTCCTTTGAGGCTTTGGATTGGACGTTGCGTTTGACTTTTTATATAGTAATTGACATGTGCCAGAGCAATGATGGATTGGAATCTACCCCAAATCCAAGCATAATGAATAAATTTTGCATATATACTTATCTATTATTCCTATTAAAGAGCGCCGGATTCATTTAGCTAAACTAATTCCAAAGAGTAGAAATACACTGACCTCAACTAATTTCAAAATGCATTTTATTTCTGCATACATTGAATACTTTTTACAATTTAAAAAATAGTATGTTTTGAAGGTAAAATTGACAAATCTTGAAAAGACAAATATGTGAAGGAGCCAAAACTGTCAGTAAGGTATTTGGGATTGAAGACTGGAAGCTTACTTAAATTCAGAAAAACGTTTGTACTCTTCCTGTATATACTTTTTTTAAAAAAACTATGAATCAAAATAGCAACATTTGAACACTTTCTGTTATCATTCAATATTTTTAGATAGAACCTGATCCTAAGCCTAATGTGGACTTGATTCTGGAAAGTAAATCTTTTCACAACTGCCTTGATGCACAGAAACCTTTTTAAAAATAGACACTCCCTCAAGTCTTTTGTTCGCATGGTCACACACTGATGCTTAGATGTTCCAGTATCTGATACGGCCACAGTAGTCTTGATAATCAAAGTCATTTTTTTCCATCTTTAGAAACCACAGGAACACCATATCCAACAGATCTCAAGCTACTGTGTGTGTGAATGAACATTCCTTTTGTTTCATACCCGAATGCTGTACATCTATTTTGGATTGTATATTGTGTTTGTGTATTTATGCTTTGATTCATAATAACTTTCCATGTTATGGAATTGATTTGCATTGAACACAAACTGTAAATAAAAAGTGTCTGAAAGAGAGAGAAAAAAAGGTGGCAGGATGGCTCAGCTTAAAAAAAGAAAAGCTGCATATTTCTGACTCCTGTTTTAAAACACTTGAAGTTACATGAAGTTCAAACTTTCATCTATTGATGACTTTTTCTTTTTAGCTGAGCCATCCTGCCACCTGTTGGCAGCTCAGCAGCAGCTCCGCTCAGGCCGGACTCGAACCACTGTTGCTCAGAGTTCAAACCCTTGAGCGAGCTCTTAACCAACTGAGCCACTCAGCCAGCCCCATTGATGACTTTTTATTTACCTGCTTTGCCACGCTTCTCAAACACTTTGCATTATGGATATCCCTAAAATATTTTGAGTCCCTAAGGCAAAAATACAGTCATAGAAATTGAGGGGGAAATGAAAGTTGGCAATTTATGCATACACATAACTTGGTGCTGCTCACTGAGATCCTCTCCAGCTGATATTTCTGGAGGCCAAACTACTCTCCGGTCCCCAAAGGGACCAAGCTGCCACATGTTTCTGGGCCTTTGGTTATACATGTCTTTGGAATTTGTGAGTTCTCTGAGGACTAGAATTCTCATCTTTTTCATCTTCATAACTCTAGTAAATAGAACCCGAATGCCTAGTGCATAGTTGGACCTCAATAAATATTCGATGGATGGATGGATGGATGGATGGATGGATGGATGGATGGATGGATGGATGGATGGGTGGATCAACAAGGGGTCCCTCCTTCCCACTGATAGTGACCTGAGCCCCTTCCCTGCCCCTTCCTGCCTTGGTTCTAATTTCCCTTTTTGGTTAATGAGTGGACAGTGGAGATTCACCATCTATTCTTAGCCACATGGAAACTACCTACTTAACCCAGTGCCTGCCTTAGAGCTCCAGTCTTGTGCTCTCCTTGGAGCTGGTGGGGGGGCAGAGGCCAGTGTCCCCAACTCTAGCAGAAGGGCTTTTTTTAATTCTTTCCTGCTGTATCTGCCTTTAATATTAAGCATCCCACCTCCCCCTCAACCCACCACTAGCTCAGTTGAATTTTGCGTGAATTTGTGATGAACTGGATGGGGCCAGACCAAAAGAGCAGAGGAAACCTTGGTCTGAGCACCTTCCATGGAGCAGGGCCCTGAAAGTATCTGCAACCTGTGACATTGTTATAAGGCTAGAATGGTGGTTCTCACTTTACTGCTCTATGTCTCGGTTCTCTCATCTGTAAAGTGGGGAAGTAGAGGTGTCAACCTGATAGGTTTGTTTGAGGTTAAATGAAGAATATATGTTAAGAACTTTAACTAGTACCTAGCATCTAATAAGTGCTCGATAAAAGCAATTGTCATTGTTATTATTAGTACTACTACCCTTACTCTCAGAATTTAACACTGGGTGTAAAGATTTACAGATACCTGAAGAGTTTATTAAAGCACAGATTTCTGGACCCCCTTTTCAAATTCTGATTCAGTAAGTCTGAAGTGAGACCAAGGAATCTGTATGTTTAATCACCGTTGCAGCTGATTATGCTATGAGTCCTCAAGAAACCACACTGACATAAGACCTAGGGAACCATATTTGGCATAGTAAGACCAAGGCAAAAATAAAAAGTCTCCAGTGACAGAGAGAGAGCAATTCTGGGAGCTGTGGAATTTTTGTTGCTTTGTGAGTAAAAAACGAATGTGCATTTATTAAATGTGTAAATAGAAACTAATCCTGATCATAGTGGAAGTTTTTGAAAAAAATGCTAATAATAGCCCCTGGTGAAGAAAAAGGCAAAACTTTTTGTAATGACATTAGGTATTATAAAGTGATAGTGCCGTCAGCATGTAAAGCCTTGAATTAAATTTGCTTTTTTTCAAACAGTAGCATTCAAAAGTTTTAAAAATATTTTTATTCATGTAATTTTTTAATTTTGTTTAATTATCAGTATTATGACATGTCAGGTGATGAGTGTCTACTTTTTACATGTGTATTTTAAATGTTTTTTATTTAATTTATGGTGTTTTACTTGGGGGGAGTCTTCTGTTTTTTATTGTATATGTACAGTATTTCACTCATCTCTATAGATTAATCTAGGAACCTAACTCTATGTATATTATTTCTATGGGAAAATATATTTCCTAGTTCCTAAATCCAAAATTTATAACCTTTAGTGATAGAAACCATTCAGAGGATGGAGACATCCCACATTTCTACAGAGATTTGGGCAAACTTTGGTGAAACAGACACACATCACTAGTTCTCTAAATGTTAATATAATATTTTAAATAGAGCAGCATTTTACTAACCTACTTATACCATACAGGTTTCTGTTTTAGTAGTGCTTTCTTAATGCCATCGTTTAAAAATGGTCACTGCTCTATCCTCACATTCTTCTCATTAGGCATTTTTAAAAATAAATTTATTTGTCATTAGGCATTTAGTTGTTTGTCGTTAGGCATTTTTATGTATGGTGTAGCCCAAATATCTACAAATCATAAACCTTTGTCTTGCATCAGTATAAACAAATCTAACATAACTGAAGAATGCTTACAGTCAATATTGGACCTCTCAACCAGCATGGTTGCGCATAGTAGGGGAGAAAAAAGACAAAACCAAAACCAACTCCCCAAAAATCCCCACCTGTTCTAGAGAAGTTAGGAAATAGAAGTGGCAGACTAGCCAAGATCATTTTTAACTTGTCACCTTTCAAAGCAGATTGTTGAATGAGACATTTCATCTGAGGTAGAAATTAGCATTTTAATTGCATTTCTACACTATAGAGATTTTTCTCTAATGAATTAATTTTTTTTGGAAAGTTAAATGCTGGATCATTTAGATGTGTGGGGTTTTTAAAATAGATTTAGATTCTTTCACTGTCTTCTCATACTCTGAATTTCAAATTTAAAAGGAAAAAAGTTTATAACCATGATTTCCTGTTGAATAATGCCAGCACTGATACTGTTAATAACCAGCCCTAGTAAAATAGGCATAAACCTTTTGTGAGAACAGTCCTTCCTGAAAGGAGTTGGGTTTGCCCTTTCCCAAGATTTAGATTTCTGTGAAAATTCTTTTAGACGTGTCTTGGCCAGAAAGAGTTCTTTAATTTTACTCTCTATTCATCTTATAAAATGTTGCTCATATCAGTGGAAAAAATACCGTGATTATTGAAATATTGATGAATTTCAAATAACAAGGAAATTGCTACATTGACAGAATTTTGGACCATCTATTTCAATATGATTTTTAAGAAAGATAAGCATCTGACTTGTATTCTGACAAGTTTCCTTGCATGAATGAGAGATGATTAAAAAGACGATCCCACTGAAATCACCAGCCTTCTTTTTTAAGAGGAAAATATTGTTTGGTGAAATAACGAATATGAAGCTCTGGATTGTAGCAAAGAATGATGCATGTTGATCAGATTTTCTCCTTTGCTTTTAGCTGTATGACAAAATTAACACAAAGTCTTCACCACAAATCAGGAATCCTCCGAGTGATGCAGTACAGAGAGCCAAAGAGGTAAGTGATATATTTTGTAAATGTATCAGGGTATCACATTTGCTACCTTTATTGTGAAAACATTTCTCCTGCACAGGAAGAGGCAGTTTCCTTGGAGTCACAGTTGGACCATTATACTCAGATTTAGTATTTCTAAGGTGATCACTGAGTATTTACATACAGGAAAGAAAAAAAATCTCAGCAGCAACGTTGCCTAGATTTCTGGTTCTGGTTCTGCTGTATAAACTGGAACACGTTAACATATCAATTTTGCTTCTCTTTTTTTTTTTAAAGTTATTTTACCACACTTGGTGGAAATAGACATGCTCTGAAAATTTGAGTTGCTTTTTAAGGTGGTAATGTTTGAAAGTTAATTAAATATCTGCATCACCGAAGTTCAGAGATAAGTCATTTTTATAAATTGTCACTTAGTGTACATCTGCCATAGACTTTTTAAAATGTTTTTAATATAGACACATGACATGGCAGAAAGTTTGGAAAATAAAAATTCATTTATAATCCCATCACCCCAACACAGCAATTTTCATTTGTATATCCTTTTCCCGTCACTACCATTTGTTATAAATTTTCATATAGTTTCAATCAAAATGTATCTTTTGTTTACCTAACATTATGTAATGATCATTTATCCATGTGTCTACTTGGTCTCTGTATATATAAATTCTAACAACAGCATAATTTTTCTTTGCTATTACTAAATTATAATGAATTAGCAATTCCTCCATTGTTAGACACCTAGGGATTTTTTTTCCACTTTTTGATGTTATAAAAGTCTTTGTGCAAATATTTACTTTTGGAAAAAAATGTTTCTTATAAAGTGAGATTACTAAGTGAAAGAATATGAAAGACATAATTCCCTCCCTATCAGATTTTAAACACAAGACCATACTGGAAAATATCGTATATTCACTGAGAAACAAGACCAGGGACATGGGGGGCTGCTAGGCCTGACCATGTGGTCAGGACATCAGCCTGGAGAAGTTCTAACTTGGGAGACCACACGTCAGTATTTAAAATCATAGACTGTGAGAGTAGCAGGGGATCAGAGAGAGTATATGGTTTCATCCTTTCATTTCACTGGTAGAAAAACTCAGAGCATAAAATACACCAAGAAGAATTGGCTTATCATCATTAAACCATATAAATTACCAGCATAGCCAGTCACTTGGTAAAGGTGCATTTAGATAAGAAAGAAACCCTGTAGTTTCTGTCTGTCTGTTCATTCTTCCTTGAGGAGGTGATTGGATAGCACAGTAAGTATGCTGCTGAAAGCTAAGCCTTAGGCTAAGTGATTTCATAATATCCCTTCCTACCCCAATATTAAGATTCTCCAACTTGAGGTGAGAGGTTCCTACTGGATGGATGACTTTTGTGCCCCTGACATCCAGCCCTGCTGAAGCAATCTTTGATTGGCTCAATTTTTGGAATTGAGTGCAATGTGTATAAACACCGCTCTGTGAGTCCAACCGTCTGCAGTTAAGAATCATAACAGTGTGTTTACTCTGAAAGAGAACAGAGGCTTTCCCCAGGGCCAGTATCACATAATCAGATTTTAAATGGGTAAAGCCATCCTGGTGTTGAGGAATAACTTTTGAAGAACAATTTCATTTGAAAACAACTATTTTACCTGTACAAAGAAAATGTTAACATCTATAATTAGTGAAGTAAATTTGAGTGGAAAGAGAAAAGTTTGGGTTTTTGGTTTCTTCATTTATTCTCTTGGATTCCCTGGCAATTAATCCTAGGAACCACTGGCATAGGTGTGCTTCTCTCTATGTGAGGAGATGAGTATGGAGGGTAACATTGATTCTGCCAGGCTGCAAGGAAAATTGCTTAAGTGTTTTTCTTCTTTAAATTGTTTTTATTTGAGCCTATGTCATTTTAATCATTCTAAAAGGAATTGACATTTTTGTTAATATAAAAGAAAGCTGTTATTAACTTTTATTACAGATTCATTTTGGTGGTGAGTTTGGAAGAAAGGTTTGCAGAGATATTTTCCCGTTAACTGAATTAAGTTACTTACACCTGTAATAACTATGTGTTGTGGACTTGTTGTTTTGTTTTGTATTTTTCAATAACCCTTTGGGTTATAGTTGGATAATATAGGCAGAGACTATTATAGCAATTTGCTGCATTTTTGTTGCTATCAATATAGTTCTCTTATGTTAATAACCTTTGAATAAAATAAATGAATTTTTCCAAAATAATTACTTTGCCTGCCATTAAAAACTCATTCATAGCTTTTAATCTAAAAGAATTCTGTATTTTTAAATCTTATATCCTGTTTGCACTATTATATATCTTGCTTATTTTTTATGTTTTAGGTATTGGAAGAAATTTCATGTTACCCTGAGAATAATGATGCAAAGGAACTAAAGCGTATTTTAACACAACCTCATTTCATGGTAAGTAACAATTAAACTTCCCTAGAACTAAAACCTTACTTTGAGAAGAAGTTTGTAATATTTTTGAAAAATTTTATTATAGTTGGCATACAATATTATATTAGTTTCAGGTGTACAACATAGTGATTCAATATTTATATACCTTGCAACGCGATCACCACGATAAGCTAGTAACCATCTGTCACTGGGCAAAGTTATTACAATATTATTGGCATATTCCCTGTGCTGTATTTTACACCCCATGGATTTGTTTTATAATTGGAAGTTTGTGCTGCTTATTCCCCTTCAGCTTTAAAAAAAGCTTGTAATGTTCGTCATAAAACAGCCATCCTCATCAAATGCATCTTTATACATTTAATATCAGACTGTTAAGATTACAGTACCAACTAATACCAAATACAGTAAGATTCATTTGTTTACTTTGTGTCACAGTTGTAAAGATGCTATTTTTGAGGTGTCTCTTCAAAGACTGTGTCATCATCAGGCAAGGGATTTGCTTCCTGATAGGATGGTCCCTAAGTCACTGGAACTGTTTGTGTTACTTAAACCACAGGAGCTCAAGTTGGAGACAGTTTTCACTAATAAAGAATTCTCTGAATCTAGGTGATATATTGAAAGAGTTATAGCTCCTGACAATGCAAAACTCCTGTTTTTCTTCATTCATTTCTACTATATGGAAAATAAGGATAGCACCTGTATTTGGCCAATTATTATAAAGCTAAATGGTAATGGTAAGTGGTTAAACAGAACTCAACACAGATGAGATACCTTTCTGTAGAAGAAGGTCCACAGTTGTCTACTTAACTTCAATTCAAAGGCACAATTGCAGATGGAAATTCATGTTGAATGTAACCTTTTTAAAACATTAGCCACATCAGTATATGTGGAATATATGTGGAGAGTGAAAAATCCAGGTGACTGCCCTTTGGGAGAAATTCTGACTTAAATCTATGTTCTTATTACTACTATTGAGGTGATATTTTTAAAATAACAGTAACAGTATAATAGGTGTAGCATATCAGTTACTGTGAATTTTGACGTACATGATACTTTATGATACAATGTTTTTAAAACTTTTACCCAGTTATTGAAGTAGAATTTTTTCTCCAAGTGAGCACCTAGAAAAAAGCAGTTACTGTATTCACCCTAACTCTCCCACCTAAACATGAAAGGCTGAACTCAAGTATAATCCTTGAGAATATTTGACTTGATTCCATCTGATAGCTGCACTCTCCAGTTACAGGAAGCCAGGTTCAGTCTACACCTGTTTGTATTCACCTGTGTCACATTCTAATACATGCCGGCCTGCTGGAGCAGACCCCTTCCCCAGTAAATGAGCACATCTCACCTCAGCTTTCTTATTCTCATTGAATTTATGATCTCATTTAATTGTTGTTATTATCTGTTTCACAGACCAGGAAAATGAAGAAACTCTATGCCTTAGCAGTATCCTCAAGTTCGAGAAATCACAAATGTCAGGAGTTAATTCCCCCTACTTAATATTATTGTGTTCCCTGATTGTTTCATATGTGTCCCCAGATTATAACTAATTCCCCTTTAGCCATCATGTCTTATAGAGTGTAGCAGTGGTGAAAGCTGGATTCAGATGGACCTGGGATTGAACTCCACCTTGCCACTCCTAGTTCTGTGAACTCTGACTCTCTGAGCCAACCTCATGGAGTTGGAATAAGAATTAAGTAGATGATACATCTACTGTGCTTAGTGCACTGCCTGACATATGCTTGATGCCGAATAAATGTCAGATGATGAACATAGTTACTCCATGGTGTCTGATCATGTGCAGGGTCCACAGTATGTTCTCAGTAAAATACTGACTAGGTTAGGAACGTGCCCACTAGCAGATAGGTTAGCCCTGCCTCAACTGTTCTGTGCAGTGTGTTTTCCACGGATAGAAATCGGTACATTTTGGACAGACATGTCTATAAATTGCTAAGCAACCCCAGCTCAAGTCAGAGAATGACATATGACCATTTGAGACCAATAGATCTTTCAGATTTGATATAAGCAAAATAAAGAAATTAACATATACCCAAATAAGAGCTGTCTTTAAGGTTAAGATTTTTTTCAAAATCATGAATGCCCTGATAGCCCTATGTCTGACAACTTACCTACCTTTGAAGCCTTGATTTATTTTGCTTTTCTGAAGTCAGAAGTTAATATGTGCATTGTTATTAGTAAACATTTTCAGAAATAATAATTCTTATAATTTCTGAATACCTAGCTAGATGCTTAAAAGACATTTTCATTCATTCGTCAAATATATAAATGCCTACTATGTGCCAGGTACCATGCTGGGCACTGAGGATAGTAAGTAGTGAATAGGACACACAAGGTCCCTGCCCTCGTGGAACTTCCATTCTAGTGGAGGTAGGCTGGGGGTGGAGAGGTGAGCTAGAGACAGACAGTGAGCAGGTAAACTTACAAGATAATTTCATATAATGATAGTAACTATGAACAAAAGAAAGGATAATGGGACAGAGATGACAGTAAAGTGGGAACTACTTTATTTAGATAGTCATGGGAAAACCCCTGTGAGGAAGAAACTGAGACTAATTATATGAAAAAAAAACAACCTTCTGACGGTCCAAGCCTGTGGAAAAGCAAGTGCAAAGGCCCAGACCAGAGGCAGGAAGGAGCTGTGTAGGTTCAAGGTACAGAAGTAAGGCCGTTGTTGCTGGGATATAGTAAACAAGGGAGCAAGTGGTACAAGAAGAGCTAAGAGAGGTTGGCAGAGGCCCTACCATGTAGGCTTTCCAGACCATGGTAAGGAATCTGGGTTTTCTCCTGATTGCAGTGAGATGGCACTGAGTGATTGCAAGCAGGAAATACTATCAGATTTGTGCTTTAGAGATTGCTAGGGCTGGTGTGTAGAGAATGGACTGTAAGGTGGATGAAAGTTAGAAGAAGGAGACCAATTAGGAGGCTGTTGCGAGAGATGGTAAAGGCTTGGAGAAGGATGGGGGTGGTGGGAAATGGGCAGATTGAGATTCTACAGTAGAGATGGTTGAATGCGACAGGACTTGTTGATGATGGGGATGTGAGGTAGTGTGACTAACCCCTTTTACAGTTCAGAGAGGAAACTGTGCCCTAGAAAGGTAAAGAGGCTTGCTTGAGGTCACCCATCTAGTACGTAGCCTCCCTGAAATTTAAAACCCATATCTTGCTGGCTCCAAAGCCCATGCTCTTAAAAGTGGGGTGACTTGTAATGAGGCTCCATTTTCCTGTAAACTTGAGCTCATTGGTCATTCCCAAATAAGCATATGTTTGGATAATGTCCCATGTGGGAAATATAATTCTGAGCTGTATATACTATGTTAAATAAAGTTTGAAATGCTGGGACTTCCTGTCTTATAAGCATTTTTAAATCATGCTTTCAAAATCTTGGTATTTTAAAGAAATATTAATAGCTAAAGGGAAATATTTTAATGCTTACAAGATGTTTTTATTATGTCAAGGTTTGGGAGTTGTTCTTAGCTTATTTACAATTTCACACTTACTTGTTCAATTATCTGGCTTTTTCTTTGCTTTCTGATCACTAAAACATGAGGGTTTAACATTGAATTACCTGACAACTAAAACTACAGTAATTAAAGGAAGAGTAAATAAGTGTAGATTTAAATGATTTTTTAAAGTCTGTACTCATAAAGGTCATGGTAACAAATATTATCACACTAATCCCTTTTTCAGTTATTCCATTTGAAAGATTGATTTTTTAAAAAGAACAAATCCTTTGCTTATTGCAATAGTAAAATATAAAACATTAAGGATAAAGACAAATATTAATGGAATAGAAAGTTAATTTTTTTCTTTAAGAAATCATATCTGGAACAGAAGATTTTAAAAGTAAATTTGTATCCTACTTTCCCCAAAAACAAGATGGTTAAAATCACCTTAGGTTGTCATGAAAATTTCATTAAGTGGTAAATTTTATGATTTGTAATTAAGAAGCTAGAGGGACCACTTTTTGAACCTAAAATTCATATTTTTCCTATTCATTTTAAAGTAGTATGATTTTTTTCACTCTTAGCTGAAGTTGTTACTGTGTTTCCCTGAAAATAAGACCTAGCCAAGAAGAAGCCCCAGCATGATTCCTCCAGGATACGGAGGGCATGCACCCCTCACATGAGGGTTTTATGACCTGTTTCAGAGAGAAGGGTGCTTTTTCCACAAACTCCTTCAACTTAAAATATTCAGTATGCCAAGGTGCCATATAAAATCATGTGAGGGCTTATTTTCTGGCTAGGTCTTATTTTCAGGGAAACAGGGTAGTTGTCTTATCCATATCCTTACTACAGTACAGAAAGTGTTCCTTTCCTATTACATGATTCTTCTTATGTAATGTAAAATAACAGCTATTTCAGCCTAGTAACAATTGCTCAATCATACCTCATAACATATTTGAAAAAAAAATATTCAAACTTTTTTTTTCCCCTTTGGAACCCTGGGTTATTAGCTTTTTTGTTTTTTGTTTTTTGGGGGTTTTTTTATTGTTAGTTTCAGGTGTACAGAACAATGCAATAGTTATCCTTTTCACCCTTCACACAGAAACAACCCCCCTCCCCCATCTACTGCCTTCCCACCCCCGATATCATGCTTGTCTATTACAATTCCATTGACTCCAT